GTCGTATTTCTTGAGAATCTCATGTTCTATTCCTCCTCGTCCACTCCCACTCCTTTGTTTGATACGACGTTGGGTCTTCCATCCTTTTCTGACGACGATGATGGTGATGATGCTCCTCTTGACCTTGGCCCTGATCCCAGTCCGCCTCCCTCCTCCCCGTCGTCTCCACCGCCTTCACTGCCTTCGGCCTCACCAGGACCACCACCGCCTGTCCGCCGCTCTCAGCGCTCTACCTTTGGGGTACCTCCTTCTCGGCACAGTGATTATGTTTCTTATGGTGTTGATGCTCTTGCTGTTCCTACTCGTTATTCACAGGCTCGCGGTGATCCGGCCTGGGATGGAGCTATGACCGAGGAGATTCGTGCTCTTCTTGCTAACCATACGTGGGTGGTGGTCTCCCGCCCTCCTGATCGGCCGGTGGTGGGGTCCCGCTGGGTCTATGCTCTTAAGTTTCTTCCTGATGGTTCTTTGGAGAGGCACAAAGCTCGTGTGGTTGCTCAGGGGTTCAGTCAGGAGTATGGTGTTGATTTTGAAGAAACATTTGCTCCTGTGGCGAAGATGGTCTCGGTGCGGACTCTCCTAGCTGTGGATGGTGTGTTCGTCTGACAGTGATTATGCAGGGTGTGTTGATACACGACGCTCAACGACTGGATGGTGTGTTCGTCTTGGGGGTTCTTTCATCTCTTGGAGATGTAAGAAACAGGATCGCGTCTCTAAGTCCTCCACCGAAGCAGAATACAGAGCTATGTCGGATGTAGTGTCTGAGCTTGAGTGGCTTCGGCGTTTACTTGATGATTTTGGGGTGACTTGTGAGATTCCTATGGAGCTATATGTTGATAACACCAGTGCTATCCGGATTGCGACGAATCCTGTTGTGCATGATCGTACGAAGCATATTGAGGTCCATATGCATTATGTTCGTGATTTAGTTCGAGATGGCATTATTCGTATCTTCCATGTTAAGTCTGAAGATCAGATTGCAGATCTGCTGACTAAGGCCTTTACTGCTAGTCGTCATTTCTATCTTGCTGGCAAATTGATGATGCGAGACCTCCATCAATTTGGGGGAGGATGTTGAGATATGTATTTCGGATGGGCTTTAGCCCATTGTATAGTAGTAGGCCTAGTCTAGGAAGATCCCTACCCTAGCCGAACACTCTTCTACCTCTGCTAGGGTTAGGTTAATATATACACATGTATCATGAACATGATCGGCAGCTAAGTAAATAAGAACATCGATCGCTTCGGCCGTGGACTAGTCTTGATCACACTGATCAAGGAAACCACGTAAATCTGTGTGTTCTCCGTTTCTGTTTCGATCATTCTCTGTTTCAATTCTTCTCCGATAAGTTAAGTTAACAAGTTGTTCAATTTTCTAGATAATGGACACCCGAAGATGGATTCTGGTATGACGTGCAAGTACTATTCTGTTGATGAGGCAATCGAAGATGGTGTTGCTCCAGTTCCAATAAGCTCTGATAGAACCACAGATGTTCAATGCACATAAGATGGTATGGACCATCTCTTAGTTTGCGAGGTAGGATTGGAATATCACCATTTGAGGGTTACATGCTGAAAGAAATTTCTAGGCCTGAACTGCTGTCTTTCTGTGGTAGGCAACGTGGCAAAAGGGTCATTCACTTGCTCAAACTGTCTTCTCTTGTATCTACTTGTTGAGGCCCGATCGAGAGAACAGTTCCATCCCCAATATTGCATTCGTATTGCAAAATTGTTCGGGCCACCAGCAAGGCTATTGTTTCAGTTGTCTCAGATGCCCGTACACATGAAGTAAAGTATTCCAACAACCCTTTAGCCTCTATTACTGCTCCATATTTCCTTCGCTAAGATTTGTCTACATTCAGTTTTTGTCTGTTTGATCATCAACAAGCACGGTGATGATTAATAATTGTGAAGATATTCTCAGACCTTGTTAAGCATTATTATACTAATATACCGAGTTAATTCACTTATGTGGCAGGAAGAGGATCTTTTTACCATGGTTATGGACTTCCTTTGAATAAGCAGACTTTCTAATATCAACTGCTCTTAGTAATTGTTCAAACGGTATAGAAGATAGAACAACTGCATCAGGACGACAACCTATTGGTTTCGATGCTAGTTTGAATAGTATAGTCTCTGCTCCGGCTCCACCTCGCTCAATAAAAATGCTTAGTTGGAATAAGGTGATGACTCCAGAAATTAAATTTGCATCACCTTGTTCAATTACTCATTTTAATGAGGTCCTCTTTTCTTCTCCCTATGGCAGGCCAATTGAGTATTTTGAAAAACTTCTTCATGATATAGGTTTTATTTGCTCTTATTCACCGGACGCATCATTGGAAGTTCTGCTGCGCTTTGTGACCCAGTTTCAAAGTTCACAACCTCATATAGTGGTAAGATCTCATCTTCAGGTTTTTTCTTCTTTTTCCTCAGAAACTACTTTTCTCAATTTCTTATTATATGATTATTTTTTATCTCTGAAGCTGCTTAGATGGCCAGCACCTTTTCCTAAGCATAATGCATTTGCTAATTACTTTTCAGTTCCTATCAATTAGTCATTCTCAGCGGCTGACTTTCGTTCTCTTTGCAGCTTTTGCTGGTTCAAGAGGGAAGCCTTTATGGACGGGATCCTACGTTTGCTGTAATTACTATGGCTGCAGGGTTGCCTGAGACCACAAAGAACAATGGTATTCTGAGAAATGAATCTGTTATGCAACTAGGGCAGGTGAGAATAACTTCAAATTACTCTATTCTCCGGAATGTACTACCTTCTAAAATGTTCAGCTGTAAACTTAGGTAGTGACTGTTAATAAGAAAGAACTGATGGGTTTGCTTGTCTGCACTAATGTTTAGTGCGGAAGTAGCAGAACCTGTTATTTTCTGCATCCTTTTGTTATATACTTGTTCTGGGAATGAGCTTTCATGAGCTTGTGTACTTTCCATGCGTCTTGCAGTTAGTCATCAACATGGTCAAAATTGTTTGTACAAATGCTGCATGGCAATTGGCAAAGGCATAAACTAGGGAAAAGTTTGCAAGATTGGCGTGTTATCTATGTACAGGTACGTAAATCTGGTTACTGTCTGTGCAATGGTGACTGCGTCAGTACAATAGCAGGAGGGCTACCTAGAGGGCAGACTTCGCATGCTCTGGTCTCCTTATTTTAGCACCGTGGTTTATGCTGTTGGACTTTGACTTCCATCTTGTTTGACATTGAGATTAAATAAATAACACAAGGATCACCTCCGTTGTTGAATTTGTTTCAACAGTTAAAGATTGCTTACACAAGCGAGTTTGGAGAAGTATCAGCAACTTCAAATGCTGAGGTAATTTGCTCTTCTCCTCTGCTTCTGACTGTTATATTTCACATTCTAGCTTTGATATCTCTTAGGAGGTGATGAGTTTAGTTTCTGAAGAATGTTGTGGCAAGAGTTGTCAAGCAAATCCTGATATGGTTGGAGAAGCAGACTTACTGGAGAGCATATTGGTTTCTCATGTTGGGGTTCGAGTTAGAGCTCTACTCACCTTGCGAATTCGTCATGGTATACTGGTACCTTTATGCTGTCTTGGCCAAGTAGCCAACATAACAGATTCGAGAATGGAGATGACTGAGGTCACTGGTATTGTAACCTATATCTGTATGTCTAGTTGTTTGCTTAAATGGAACTCCAGGGACCATGTTGTAATAAAACTGAAAGACGAATCAGGTTGGCGCGGTCAATCTGATTACTTAGAGAACAAGCTAAACGGATCTGTTTTTTCTTGCTGAGAAAGCCGGCAAAACAATAACTAATGTATTTCATTTGTCATTCTGCATCAGCTAAACGTAAGGGAAAGAAAGGAAAGGATTCACCGCAAGATGTTGGAAGAGAGCCTCGGACTCCAGCAGCATTGCGTTTTTCTTCAGTGTCAAATCTGCCTTGCCGAAGGGCTCACACTGGTAACTATACATTGGAATTCGTCCAATTTTGAAGCCATGATTTGTTAGGGACAGTCATATAAGCTCATAATCGTAAACCTGCATTGGGTGAGGACCGATGATTGTAGGGCGTCTTGTTTCTTAATTATTATTTTTTTCTTCCTCGATGACGAAGTGAATCCCCTGCCAGTTTTACATTCTCGATCTTGATCTTGGTGAATAGCAGACAGATTCATGAGCTACCTAAAGAGGTTTATCAGGTGTAATGTGACCAGAGACACAAGTCCTAAATTACTAATAGAATACCTTTGAATAAAGTCCTACGACTTGTCGAGTTTAACGCCTAAATCATATCTCGACATGATCTTCTAAGTCGTTTGTTCTGCCGCGACTAGATGCTCATTCAACTATAATTTTATTTTATTGTTCTTGTGCGACTCTGACAATTAATTAACAAGATTAATCTAGTTCTAGTTTGGTAAATCATAAGGACTGACACAAAGCTTTCTTTTTTGAGCGTAGACATGGTTTCCTGGGTACAGTTTGCTGTTCTAATTTCTATACGCAGAGCCCACCGTTTGGGCCCAATCAGCTTACACCGTCTGTCAGTCCGTGACGGCGAAGTACATGAAATGAAATGAGTGATGAGGGTGGGCCCACGGCTGGGCCCAGAACATTTCACTCTCAGATTCGTCATTTTTGGGCTGACAGCTACGGCGGCGTACGTACGAGCCCAAAGTGGGATCCACTTACGGTTTTTGGATGGTTTTGTTTTATATCGGAAGGGAATCCCAGCCCAATAGTTAACCACCGTGAGGGCATGCCTGAGCTGGCATCGCGGTCAGATGCCAACTCGTGAAACATAAAAATTCTACCAACCGACTAGTGTCGGCTTCTTGAGAACACAGTTTCATTTGCTTGGTTGGATTATTTAATAAAATATCTTATGCAATATAAATTGAATCCAAATCAGTAATTAGGTTTTGATAATACTGATGAAACTTCTAATTTTTATCATAATATACGTACAAACAACCCTCAATGTAAGCACTAATAACTAATAATAAGTTCTCTCATTTGTAACAAGACACTAACATTTTATTTAGAAGTTCGTACCGAATCTAGAAAAGGGAGTAATTACGATTAGTTCAACTGTTTAGGAGAGTCCTTTGCAAGATGGATTTTACCATAATACTTCAACTAATTGAGTAGGCCACCTTATTCTACACACTTGACTGTAGGCCTGTCAATCCGGTTTCAGGTTTTCGGGTTAACCCAAACCTGAACCGGTTTTTTCATTCTCGGTTTCGGTTTTTTCGGGTTCAACCCGATATCTATAGTCTCGGTTTCGGGTTACTGAAACCCGCAAAACCGAAAATTGATACTCGGGCAGTGGGCTTTTTCTTCTGCAATCTGATCATCGTCACCATCCTCGTCGCCTCGAAACCTCCCCGGCGGCGGAAGCCGAATTCGCCGCGTGTCAATGCTGGAAACCTCGTACGTCGCCGTCAATCGGCAGGAGGAGAAGGTCGTCGTCGTCGGCCGTGCTCTGCCGCCGAGCGATGAAAACAGAGCATCGCCGCCGTCGGAAACTAAGGTCGAGATGGTGATCAGTATCCAGGCCGAAGCCCATTTCAGGTTAGGTACCTCGAAACCCATTTCAGGTTAGGTACCTCGGAACGACAGTCGTGTTGTCTTACTATCTACAATTAGGGTTACCATCTTCAGTGCCCAAAACCAAAACCCTCTTCCTTGTTCTCGATCGGCGGCGTGAGAGGGGAAGGCAGAGACAGTTTGAAGCGAAGGGAACTTCCCATTCTATTTTCCTCTGCCGGCGAAAATGGTTGCTTACAGGGTATGTTAAAGCTTTCGGCTTCTCGAATTTCCCGTTCAAAATTTCTATGGGGTTCTTTGGCTCCCATTTGTTTTATTGTTAGTTTGGTTCATTTGCGTTTTGGTCTAATGAAGTCAGGATTCGTGGTCTTCTCGTTGGTTTGTTGATTTGGTTTTGTTGGGTATTTGTTTTTTTGTTTTTTTTTTTTTACTTCTCGGGTTGTCCAGTACCACCAGTACCAGGTCGTCGGGCGAGCTCTTCTGACGGAGAGCGATGACCATCCGAAGATCTATAGGATGAAGCTCTGGAATACGAATGAGGTTCGCGCCAAGTCCAAATTCTGGTGGGTTGTCCTTTTTGCATTGTTTCTCTGTTCTGTAGTTTGATTCATTGAGTGAGGTTTGTTTATTCTGCTGCTCAATTTCGGGTTCCAGTACCCGAAACCCACAAAAGTGCAGTTCGGGTTCGGTTTCGGGTTGTGTGGGCGTGGGTTTGGTTTTTCAATTTTCACGGGTTTTGGGTTCGGTTATCCGACCTGAACCGAACCGACAGGCCTACTTGGCTGTCATCAAAATATCTAATTATTTGTTAGATGCTTACTTTCGATCATCCCATCTCGAACACTCTTCTTCTTTTAGCTCCATAACACTCGAGATACCAACCATAATAACCTAACTATACTTACCAATTTTTTTAGAAATTGTTCCTCCTGAATGTTTGTTAATTGAAATAAAAATTTGAAGGTTTGGTCCTTTTAAGGGTTGGTTTATGGTGGAAGGGTAAAGAGGAGTAGATCACAACTCGCATCCACATGGCATAAACATTGGAAACGTTCCTTTCAAAGTGTTCATTATTTTGCTTTGGAGCTTCCCACCAGAAAATTTATCAATTTCATCCACCATTTTTTGAGTAATCCTCAAGCCACCACCACCAATAATAATTATAATTATCACTTATTCCATGAATCAAGTAATAATAAAGCCAAATAATAATACTGCCAAAATTACCCAAATAATATGTTTCTTGTTTTCATTAGTGGCTCTTATCATAGTATGCATGTGATTGACACCTCAGTTTCCATAGTTATTATTATGACACTACTGTATATTTTTCCTAAAATTTTCTTTTATTTTATGAATCATACCATTAAGTATGATTATGTCAATTCAACCCTAATTGGATCATATTATCTTATCTACAAAATTCCAACTGCCACAATAGATTTTGACCAAACACCAGTCTTATGATGAAATTTCAAAGGCTTCTAGATCCTAGGGTCAATGGGTTATCTACACTAATCAGGTTTACCAGGAACTTTGTTACAACAGGAAGATGGAGAAGCAAAAACCAACTTTGTAGTCAATGATGAAACATTCTCATTCCAATATTGAAAAGTTGTATATAAAGTACTCTTAATCCGATTCAACCGATGAATGCTACATATTTAAATATATAATTCTGCCTTCTTATTTATATTTATCACATCCCAAATGCATCACAATTATCAGTTGCATGTTAAAAGACTAAGAAGGTATAAGTATTAACGCTTTCGTCCTAACGAAATAAGATAAATCTAAATTAGTTATTGGTATAATTATAGTATAAATGATTTTTTTTAATCTTCTAATAATATCGTTATTTCAACTGGAATTTCTTTTTATGAAAGTATTTCAACTGGAAAAATTATAAAAGGGAAAGAAAATCTGTCATGTGTGGAATGTCACAGACAGCGCAGCCGGCGGTGCCAGTGCCATGCAAGCAAAGCACGACTAATTTGAAATATAATTAAATTAATAATCACGCGTTGATTTCCTTACTCCAATTTCCCCCCAGTTCCGTAAAGCTGGAGATCGCGGTTCGTTCTGATGACGTGGCGAAATCGGAGGGGAGGAGGATTGAGTGACTGTGTAAGCGGCTGCAGAGGAGCACAAGCCATTTGGACGCTGTGGGTGGGGTACAGTTTTCTTCGTACGGCGCCGTATTTGTGAAATTGTGTATGGACAAAAGGGGGGGGGGGGGGGGGGGGGGGGGGGGGGAAAGCCTCCAAGCGTGACAAAAGTACGTTTTCATGCAATGCACAAATGTTGTTAGCTCATTTGGTCCCTAAAAGCCTGTCTATTTATATTCCAGTCTCTTAAAAATTAAAAAATCATGGATACATATGACTCTCAACGCTAGTGGCGGAGGCAGCATTTCAAATCACCCGTGTCCTCTTTTCATAACTTAAATATATAAGTATCTAATAAAATAATTATTTAATAAAAAATAATTATATCCAAATAATTCATTCATAAATTAAAAATAACTGATTGTACTATCATACTTTTCAGAAACAACTACGAAAGAATTTCATATAGTGAAAGAAACGCAAAAACATTCGTTGTCTACTCTATTATATAAGTCTCTTTCAACGTATCTTACTAAACAAGCATTAGCAAACTGGTCGCAAATCGACTTGGAAACTTGTTCTTAATATAAATCAAAGCTGAAAAATGCTCTTTTTACACTTGCAGTTGTAATTGGTAGATCAAAACTAGTGGGATTGCCGTTGTCACCACTGGCGGATACAGGGGGTGGCCACCCCAGGCCCCGGCCCAGCCCTCATCTGGATCCGTAGTTACTATAGTCCTTATGAAAATTTTGATTTTAGACATTCGACCCAGTGTTATTCTATGATAAGATTGGGTTTAACTAGAAAAAAAATCAAGTTGAACATATTCAAATCACTATTCTAAATTTAGCCTAGAAATTTTAGCCCCAAAGATCATGCGTCTTAAAAAAACAACTAGCGTGGCCCCGGCCGTTTGGCCGGAGGAAGGTGAGGTATGAAATTTGATAATGTAATGGGGGTGTATAGCTTATTGTTGTATAGTTTTTTTTTTTTTTGGAAACACGTGATAAAATTTGTGAATTTTAGTAGAAAAAAGACATGAATGATGCAACGAATCAAAAATCAACCTTATGAACCAAATTCAAGTACCTGTTACCCGATAATATGATGAGGGGGAGTAAGTTTTATAGAAACCGAATTCCAAAAAATCGAATAAAAAATCGCCTATCTTGCGGGTTTTCGTGAAATGAACATCTCACAATCGTTGCTAGTTTTTACTCGGCCCGTTGGCCGATTAATTTGCTTTATAAAACTTTCATCTTGTCATCATTGTGCTTTCTGGTTTTTTGCCAAGCCATGATAAAATCTAAATAAATCAAGAATGAACAACACAATTTGGGATGGGAACCACCGTTCCTGTATCCCTAGAAAATGGTGGTAAACACGGACTCACCTGCCAAACTGGTTTGGATTGAGATTATTATCGGGTATCAGAGAACCATGTGATTATAAATTAGACATGATCAAAACGGGCCAAAACATGAAATTCAGCCTGTTTGACCGACCCATGCCAAACTCTAGTTATTCTTTACTTTAAACTTTCTATTTGAAAATAAAAAATAATGAAAGAAAAGAGATGACTGTAATTCGTCATATGCACATCACTGATTCGGGAATAAAACTATAGAATTTCGAAAGGAAACTGAAAATGGTTAGGATCATTTAATGTTAAAAATAGCCAAATAGATCTTTCTGTTTAGTTTTTTACTAACAAATACCAAACGATTCCCTATAATTTAATCAGTATAATATCAAATAATTATATAATATATATTTGAAATGATAAAAATTGGACTAATTGGGTTGGTTGAGGTTGAACCCAATGAATAATTTTAAAATACATTATATTTTAGCCACTAAGATATAAAATAATAACATAATATATATTATGATAGAGAAAATAGCTTGTTTTAGAATGACAAACCCATGATGTTCATTTGTTTTTTTTTATGGGCAAATCCCGTGTAGGTCAGGCCCATTCAACTCTTTTATTTTATGATTAGCGGTTAGCCCATTAGAATCCATGCATTAGTTTATTGTTAATTTTTTTCTTTTTAGCAATAAAAAGGAGTATTGTTTTTGCCTTTTCGTATATATTTTACCACCACGGAGAAATAAAATGACTTAAAGAAAAAAATTGACACTCTTGAACCCGTTTAAATCCGCATGTGTACGGTAAGTTAGCCCGTTCCACAGAGGAAAAAGAAAAAAATTGGCACTCCCTATTCTACCCTTCGTACAAACGCTCATGGAGCAGGGAATTTGAAATGGGGAAGGGTTTTTTCCTCTCTGCGATTATATGTTTTTAATTTAAAAAGATACAACAATTGTACTTAGTGTGATTGGTTATAATCTTTGCTTTTCTTTAAAGTGGTCATGGTTCGAATCCTAGTAGTGTCTTTTTAATGAATAAAAAAAAGTAATTGTGAAGACCAAAATGTCCTTCCTACTTTCACTCTGGATGCAGGAAATTTGAAATGAGGCTTCAAGTTTTCTAATTTGGCTTTTATTTATTATGTAGATGAAACCTAAAATTCTAAAAAGTTGAAAACGTAAAAGACTAAAAGAAATATGAGGTTTGTTCCCTTACAAATTTACTAAAGTAGCTGGTGTGCAGGGATGGACACACAATGCAAATTGATTAGTCGATTGATTTATCTAGTGTTGATGCTGCTTGTTTCAACAGCTACTACGAAGAGAACCTTTTTAACAATGAAACATGTGAGAACCGATTTGCTCAACAAAATTAGCGATGAATTTCTCGCCGATTGCTCAGGTATTTTATTTGAAACAGTGTATACTATTGGTATGGATGTAGACTTCATTATTGATGCATTCCCTAAATTAAAATACAGTCGTGTACAATTTACATTGCAAAAAACTATAATCATTATATTTTTTTTACGGTTCTAATTTTCTAATGAAATGCGGCCCAGTGCTCTTCTGTGTTCTGGATCCGTCGCTGGTTGTCACTAGACAGTTTCAGGGTTGTTGGGGAAAGATCGAATAAGCATAAGGAGAAAAGAGACCCGATTAGGTCTTTATTGCAATTGGAATTTCGTTTATTGTATAATAAATTAATTTATGTCAATTTTGGACAAGTAATGAGTTGTGTTGTAGTGACAAAGTACTCTAATACTACCTATACGTGTTGTGTTTCATCACCAATATAAATATATATGATGTATTTTTGTTCCACAGAAATTTACCACTGTCCCGGGACGAGGCCAAAACGCCCTGCCTCTCCGCCACTGCAACGCACCGAGGTTAGGGGGAGATCTTCATGCTATAGTTAAACGTACAATATAAAACTTGTAATATACATATAAATCTAGCAACTAATAAGGCATTAACAGGTAGAGGCAAGAGAGGAGGGTATTTGTGCATTTGATCCCTAAAAGCTTGTCTATTTATATTCCAGTCTCTTTAAATACAAATTCTATCATCAGTCACCATACCAAACTTTGATTTTTCATTATGTATGACAACCTATATTGAACGAAGTAGAACCAGAAATCTAAATGAAGAAGAAGAAAAAAAATGAGAAGACAATAAATTTGAAACATGATAGGCAAGCATAGCAACCAAATAGGCTGAAAATCGGTACGTTATCGGTATCCCAATACCAAATATCAAAAATTCGAATACCGAATTAAACCCTAAAATCAATCACAATCTCAATCCCTAAATAATTCGATATCCCAATCCCAATTCCTAAATATTTCGGTATCCCAATCGGTACTTCGGTATCCCAATCGGTATTATCATATACAAAATTAATTATCTTTACAATCAATAATTAAATATATAAATTATATTTTAATTTTTAATTTTGGGCAAAAAGTCTAAGCAAAGAGCCCTGAGTTTGCCTAAAGCTAGGATATGGATAAAGAAAATGGAGGAGAGGTGACATCTCAAGTTCTTGTCATCTGTAATCTTTAATTTGAAAAATTGGAGGTTGAGAGACGACTAATACTATTGTTTGTGTTTTTGGTGTTATGAAAATAACAAGAGATTAGGTGAGGGACGAGAGTGACTTAAATTGGAAAATCAGTTTTGAGTTGGATGGGAACTTCTAAGTTGTGAAATAGTGATGAAATGATCTATGTATAATTAAATGGTAGTGTAGCAGTGAATGAGAGAGTCTAGTTGAGAGGATTAAATACACATTAGCTTATATTTCGGTATTGATCGGTATTTCGGTATACACCGATCCCAATTCCGTAATCCCTAATACCGAATAACAATGGAAATTCAATCCAAATCTCAATCCTAAGAAATAATACGTATATTCACTAATACTAAATATAGAAAAATTCGGTACGGTATTAGGTATATCCCAAATACCGGTACCAAACTTCCAGTCCTAAATGGAGGTATTATTGCATGGACTAATTTGTACTAATTTTGAACAATAAGGACTTGAGATGTTATAGGAATTACGGGTGGGACCAAACATAGAAAAGGCTCGCAGGGACAAGCACGCCGTCTAAATTTAATACTGAAATAAAAAATAGAAATGTGACAATAAATACAGAATAAAAAAGCAAATGATTTCCATTAAATTTTCGTCTACGACGCCGACGACTCAACCAAAAACCGAGCTCCCCACTGAATTCCTCAGAAAAAGTAAAGAGAGGAAAAGAAAGAAAAGAGTTTCCATTTCCAATTCTCTCAATCAGATTGTCGACTTTTCCTTCATCATTTCTCCACCGACCATTTCCCCTCTCTTCTTCTTCCTCCTTTCCTTCGGATTCAGCTCAGGTATTTTCCTCGCCCAATTCTTCTGTGTCAGCGCGGGGAGTTCCTCTGCTCCTACTTAGGAATCTTTTTTTCTTCTTCCATTTTTACAGCTCTCAGTTGGTAATGCAATCCTTGACTTGAAGACACCCTACCTTTCTATTGTTTAAGTGGTGGGGTTTCTATTCTGGGTAGGTTTGTTTTGGTGAGATCTTTTGTGGGTTGTGATTATCTGGGTTCTGGATGGGTCTGTAAAGTTTGTTTCTTTGCTCTATTTCGTTCTTCAATTGTTTTGGAGGTTGGGAGTTTTTGGATTTCCTTGTGCTTTTTGTAGTCAGTGCTCTGTCTGACTGCTGCCGACTGTTCGGTGCTTTTGTCGATTATTGGGTTTTTAGCTTGGATCTATCTAGATATGAGCTCTAAGTTGTTGATTGAGGTTTAAAAGTTCATTTTTTAATACTTCATATTGGAGGATTGTGTTAATCGTTCTGAGGATGTTGACTGTGTTTAGCTTTTGCAGAATTCTGTTGAACTCTCGAGAGAAGATGTCAGGAGGTGGAAGTCAGAACAGCTTGAGGAAGGCACTTGGATCCATTAAGGATACCACCACTGTTTCATTGGCTAAAATCAATAGCGATTACAAGGTAAACCAGTTAAGAATTATGGTGAATATTGGACTATGGTTGTTAAATTTCCCTTTTTCCATATCATTGATCTGTTTGCTCTTGGTACACTTCCATTTCTCAGGAATTGGATATTGCTATAGTCAAAGCCACCAATCATGTTGAACGACCTGCAAAGGAGAAGCATATAAGAGGTGGGTAAATGGTTATGCCTATTCTTTTTCATCTTCAAGCCATGGAGATCCTTTCAATCATTCGGCTTGTTGTGAGTCTAATATTGTTAGGGAGAATAGACTGACGAACAGCAAGCTTATGATATTTCGTCATTCTCTTTGCAGCTGTTTTTGCTGCTATTTCAGCTACCAGGCCTCGTGCTGATGTTGCATATTGCATCCATGGTCTTGCCAGAAGGTTATCAAAGACGCATAATTGGGCGGTAGGTGTATAATTTCTGTCTCATCTAATCTTAGACATAGTGGAGTGGTGTGAGTTATGGGACAGCATCTCTCTTAATCTGAATTATTATGTTAATAAGCTCATGCCATGTAACTATATAGGTATCTTACCTCGTGAACCAGCTTACATGGTAGCTGATTTCTTTTCTGTTGTGTAGTAGTCCATGCTTACTGATGGACCAAATGCTTCTAATTTCAGGTCGCCTTGAAAACTTTGGTTGTCATCCATCGAGCATTGAGAGAAGTAGATCCTACATTTCACGAGGAACTCATCAACTATGGCAGAAGCAGAAGTCATATGCTCAACATGTCTCATTTTAAAGATGATTCCAGCCCGAATGGTATTTAGTGTAATCACCTTGCCTTTGCGAAACTGGATGTTTATTTATCGATTCAATTGATAATTCTTATTCATTTCACAGCATGGGATTATTCTGCTTGGCTTCGCACTTATGCCTTGTTTTTGGAGGAGAGGCTGGAATCTTTCCGGATATTGAAATATGATATTGAGACAGATCGACCTGTAAGCTCTCTTTCTCTCTTATTAGATTCTGTTAATTGTAGGCATCTGTTGTCCTTGACTAATTCATTAACAAACCTTTTGCAGAGGACCAAAGATCTGGAAACTGCTGAACTACTGGAGCAATTGCCAGCCTTGCAGCAGCTTCTTTTCCGTGTTCTTAACTGTCAGGTACCAGTTAAAGTTGCTGTAGAATATTGTTCTTTTACTAATACATGCTACCTTTACTGAAGCAGCATTGGATCCTTTTTTAATAGCCACAGGGAGCTGCAGTTAGTAACTTCATCATCCGCTTGGCACTCGCAATGGTCGGGAAAATTCTTCAATACCTTCTCTTCTCAAATTAGTGGATAATAGTCAGCAATCTTCTTTGATTATGACTTATCCTTCTCTCTCGTGCCATTTTCCAATAGGTTGCTTCGGAAAGTGTCAAGATCTATCAAGCAATAACAGATGGAACAGCAAATCTAGTTGACAAGGTAGTAAATGATCTGAATTTGGGCTTTAACATCCGATGTTATAATGTTCCAATATTGACGTCAACTTTATTAATACAGTTTTTTGAGATGCCACGTGCTGATGCTGTGAAGGCTCTGGAAATATATAGGAAAGCCTGTCAGCAGGTAAATTTTTTGTTAATCAAGGTGCGGAAATTCCATTCAACACTATGCTTGAGACATTTCAATCTGTGTTTCAGGCAGAGAGACTGTCGGAATTCTATGAGATATGTAAAAGCATGGATATAGGGCGTGGTGAAAGGTTCATTAAGATTGAACAGGTTTCAAATTCTCTCTTGATTTCTTCTCAGCAGTTTTCTGTGTTAATTTATTCACCTTTTTTAAGTGAATTTGGTTTTGGTGGTGATGCAGCCTCCTGCATCTTTCTTACAAACAATGGAAGAGTATGTTCGAGATGCTCCACGTGTGTCAACTGTTCGCAAAGATCAGGTACAGAACCTAACCTTCCTAGACAGGTAGAAGAGACTATACTGTTGGATTCTGGATGCCATCAGAAGTTATGTGAACTCTTTCAAAGTTGTCCTCTGGCTTCAACAACGAGTTTGGACTCCCTTATGGCTAAAACCACTTGAAAATGATCTTTTTACCAAGCAGGTTGTGGATAATAAACTTGAAGCACCGAAGGAAATATTAGCCATAGAGTATAAGAAGGAAATTGAGGTGAAGGAGGAGGAGGAACATTCGCCATCACCTCCTCCTCCCGAACCAGTGAAAGAGGAGAAACCTCCCGTCGTTGCACCACCTGATTTGCTGGTGATTCCTCAAACTTTTTTTTTTATTTACCCACGACTATTCGCTTATTATGTATTGGTTTCTAAAGATAGCAAGAAAATCAACACATCCGTTCTCCAAGAGCATTTGGCATATGTCAGTTACTCACAAGGCATTGTCGCCTACTTTTGCTTGCCAGAACTTGGATGATCCTGCTACAGTTGCTTCTTCAGAACTTGATGAGAGAAATTCCCTTGCCCTGGCTATTGTCCCAGTGGGTAAGTTCTTTGACTGTCTAATTTCACATGGTTCGTTTTCAGTAGCAACAGTTATATTTCGCCTTTCCCCAGACCTGTTGCCTCAAGTGGGGATGCCTTGTATCAACTTGAAAAAACAGAAAGAAACTAACATGAGCAGCTTGTCTCCCATAGAATCTTTGCTTACTAGGCTTCTGAACGGGCGAGTATTGAGTAAAATGTCCCTGGATTAGGATTTCAATTTTGCTTGGTTTGAGTACTATCCAATTGCATGCATATAATGACGAACGTTATGCATGATTCTGGCATCTCTTCTTGTAGGCGACCAACAACCTGCCACTGCACCAACCCAAGCAAATGGAACTGGTTGGGAACTAGCACTGGTTACAGCTCCAAGTTCAAATGAAACTACCGCTGCTGCTAGCAAGCTGGTATGCTGCTTCTTTGAATTTTGCTTACCGTTAATTTCTGTCGTTTTAGCTAGGGGTGGGTTGGTGGCCAGTATGATTCTACTCGCATTGAACTGTGTCCAGAATCTGAGTCACTGAAGGCAGGCGAATTGGGGTAATTTGGGTTGAGTTTCTTGCTTACAGGGGTGGGCAATGGCTATTTAGCCGAACCACACTAATAATGAAATCAATTCAGTGTATTATGCAGTCAGCACCCTTCTTCATTTTGCTAGAACACGATTAGGACACATCGAATTTGGTATCCGTATTTCTGTGGTTTGGCCTTTAAACTACACCCTTTTCCCTTGCTGATTCTTTTCACTCCTTTCCATTGTCATAAAGGGGGGAGGGCTAGATAAACTCACATTGGACAGCCTATACGACGACGCAATGAGAAGGAACAGTCAGCCCACAAGCTACAACCCTTGGGAAGCTGCTCCAATGAGCGGTCCAGTGATGCAAGCAGCCCCACACGATCCTTTCTTCGCTTCCAACGGAGTAGCTGCATCTCATAACGTGCAAATGGCGGCAATGGCCAACCAACAACAGGCTCTCATGTGGCAGCAGCAGCAACAACAGATGATGATGATGACCACCCCACAATTCCAACAGCCTGCAAATCCTTTCGCCAATGCTTATGGGGCTCCGGTCCATCCCTATGGTTCAGGTATGCCGCCTCCCGTGCAATCTTACCAACCATATCCAGGATACCTTTGAGCTGGAGGAAAATGCTTTTTGTATAAAGAATGCACACAGGGAAAGAAAGATCAACATCCACAGAACAAATTTCCAAAATTTTATCCATCCTTCCTTTGCAGACCATCTCAGTCGCCTCGTGTATCATATTGTTACGTAATGTGCAGCAGCACGAGTCGTGCTTTAGATCTGATGATTCTTCTGATTATTTTTATGGCTAAACGATGATTAGAAATAATGTTTTTTGCCCAAAACTTTGCCTTGGATGTTGGAGCATAGCAGGCGAATTTCTTGTAATGTCATTCATTCTTTTATTTTGGGTGAGCTGTTGTTAATTCCCAGTTAGACGGTAGAAAGAAACCCTAAACCCACCACCATTTGTAAGATCTGTGATTATATATCAACCCCATTTTTACACATTGAAGAGACATTTGAGTTTGATTGCAAAGTTCAAGTTGATATAGTTGTGTCAACTGTCAAGGCTTTATACCTTTGGCACCTAATCTTATGTTTTTTTGGGGGGTATTTTGGCACACTCTACTCTTCTTAACATAATTTCATATTCCAACAATATATATTAGATTTTTTACTATTTCTTTTTTGCATTTCAAATTTTATGTTTCTCCTTAATAGATCTTTATAATTGGAAACACAACTTGACATTCAATGGTCTAGTTACGATCCTATTGATTCTATAAGTATAATAGAATGCAATGGTTTTCGTAATAAAATATTTTGAATTTTAGAAGTGAATGACCAAACATGACTTGCTAATAATTAGGGGTGGGCGTTCGGTAGGTTCGGTTTAAACCGAACCGAATTAGGACATGCCGAATTTCCGATTTGCCCTGCACCCCAACCGAATTCGAACCGAGCTATAATTCGGCTCGGTTCGGCCGAACCGAATTATAGCTCGGTTTGGTTCGGTTTAACTGCCCAGAACCGAAATTCATAGCTGTCGGAGGAGACTCGGAGATTCAGTGTAGGACTTCGGACTTCGGCAGAAGATTTAGTGGCGGCCGGAGGAGACTTGGCGGCCGGCGGGTGCTTGCCTGGGTCTGGGTGGGATTGTGGGAGTCTGGGAGGCGGAGACCGGTGGATCTGGGCCGACGGGTGCTCGTCGAGGGTGAGGATCGCGTCGAGAGGGAGACGAAGCTGCTTCTCAGGTCGGGCCGTCGACGTCGCCGGGCTCAGGCAGTGGAGAAGGTTGGAGGAGACGGAGTCGCACTGTCGCAGTCGGTAGTCGCTGTGTCGGCTGCTTCGGTGCTTTCCTAGTTCCCTTTCTGGCTTTCCCTAATTCCCTTTGCGATTTCGTCTAAGGTTAGGCAGTCGCTGCTTCGATTTGTTGAAGACTTGAAGAGGCCCCCATTGACCAGACGTAGCAGACAGCAGCAGGGAGCAGGCCCAGGCAACCAGACAGAAGCTCAATCCAATTTGTTGGACTGGGGCGGAGTGGGCTGAAAAAAGACGGTTGGGCGGTATTGGGCTGGTATTCGGGCAGGTGGGTTGTAATTCGGAATTCGGTCGGTTTTTCGGAATTTCGGTTCGGTTCAAATGAACCTGAGTTCCGAAATTTATCCTATTTACTTCCGAATTTCGAACCTAATTACAATTATTTCGGTTTCGGTCGGTTTTTATTCGGTTCGATTCGGTTTGGTTCGGTAAAACCGAACCTAATGCCCACCCCTACTAATAATTAAGCTAAAGGTTGCGAATGATAAGCATATAAGTCTACGACTCAATATAATTGGTGAATGAGTCAAAATTTATTGGTTAATCTTTAAGTGACTAAATCTCATACCCTAATTCTTTAAACGCAAATGTGATGCATGTGGTAGATTGGAAATATCTCGACGAATCAAAATCTTCGATCATTGTTACTAGTATACTAACTTAGTAAGAAGATGGCCATATCTAATCAGCAAAAGTAGGATTTCATCTTCCAATGTAGGTGCATCATACACACAACCTAGTGCCTTTTGAAACCTCTTGATGGCTAGTGGAGCGAGCCCTTGTATTTGGCATGTGCCTGCAGAATGTAGTTCCTTGGTAGTTCTCTTATCTTATCCGTCACCCTTGATTTAGGAACTTTGCCCGCCCTCCCCTGTTATTCTTCCTTCCCTCTCACCCCCCTTCTCAACACAAGACGGCCCCTCTTAATGAGAAAGGAAACGAAATAATATCCATTTTGTTGAATGCCGATGCAGAGCCCAAGAATCCTATCTTTTTTGTTGAGTGGAGGTGAAAAAGAGTGGTTCATGTTAGACTGGAGATGTCATACTTATCGGCTATGGCAAATTGGGTAATCCCCATCATTAGGATGTGTAGAGAAGAAGCTCCTAGCACATCTCCGGATTACGGAACTTCGTAGGGTGGGTAAGGAAGAGCCGTCGGACTAATGAATTTGCACAAATAAAACGACATTGAAATTTGTAAGAGTCCAGAGAAATGAAGATAAGAACCCAAAGTTCGAACTTGACTGGCACTAGGGGTGTTCAAACGGATTGGTTACCGTGGTGACCATATTAACCCGTAGCATTTGGTTAATTTGGTTTGGTTAATTTAGATCATTGGTTTGGTTTGGTTAAACAATTTAGCTATAATTTGGTTTAGATGGTTTGGTTTGGTTTCAACACTGCTAATCAATGCAACCAATTAACCAATTAATGATACACCTAATATACAAAATTATTTATACTTACATGCAACCAATAGGGATGGCAATAGGGCGGGTTTGTCTAAACCATCCCCATCCCCATTTTCAAATACCCAAACCCATACCCGCCCCATACCCATGCGGGGGAATGTTTTGCAAACCCATCCCCATACCCGTGGGTTTCGGGTACCCATGGGTAATACCCGTACCCATACATCCAACATTATTATACCTAAAATTTACAAGAAAAGTTTTAATTATTACTCTAAACGAACCTATTATATCATGAAGTCAACAAAACACGATCATTTTCTTAATACGGTTCAAAGTATATGATCCTAAAACATCCATTAATACATAATATAGAGTATAATATTTTTCAAATTATCATCTTCTAACTCTTATACATCTACTAAGTAATAATTAGCTAACATAATCTTGTAGACAAGGGGAAAAGTGAAAGAGTGAAAGGAGAATTGAGGGAAATGAATTAGATTTTGATTAAAATGGTCACTCAATTGCATTTCTACTATTTATTTCCTTGAGTTATCCTTATCACCATTGATAGATTACAATTTAATCCACATATTTTTTTATATGTGAAGAAATTCTCTTGGTGGGGCGGGTATGGGTATGGGTATGGGGCGTGGGAGGTCAAAACCATACCCGCCCCATACCCATCAAACATTTGTGGTTTTTACCCATACCCGCCCCATATCCGGTCAAAGCGGGGATTCCCCGCGTTGACTGGGTCGGGGGCGGTTGGATACCCGCGGCCATGGGTTTTATTGCCATCCCTAGCAACCAACCAAACCAAACTTTCGTGATTCCCTGTTTTATTTCCATGTGCACAACAAACCAAAACATTATGGAGCTGAAATTAAATGGGCCTGCCTATATTTACTAAACCAAAACATTTTGGACAACTTATAGACTTTAGGATTACGTACAATACTATGACAACCACCTCAAACTATGTATAGTTTAAGTGTTTTGTAGGAGAGCTTTAACTTCCTGATGAGGGGTATTGGTATGTATTTATGTTTAGGGGTTTGTTGTAAGCTACCTATATTAGGTGCAAAGATGATGAATGATGTATTAACTCGAATGGTGATGATAATTATGGATGGTTAGTCTTATTATTATTGCTTATATAAAATGACAGTTTATGTTTGTTTTCATATAATGTTATACTATTTGGTTAATCCGATTAACCATACCAATTAAACTTTGGTTTGATTAATTTGGTTTTCGTGTTAATTTGGACGGTTTGGTTAAGACATTTTATTCCATGATTAATGAAATTTTGGCTTAATTGGTTTGGTTATTAACACGGTAACCATTTGAACACCCCTAACTAGCACTATAAAAGGATTAACAAGATGGTGTTTGGGGGGATTTTATTTTCTATGACAATGGATTTTATCTTATCTTAGGTCTTAGGGTTCAAGGTTAATCGAGTTAGGATTTACTCATTTGACTTTGGGTGTAGGATTCACTCGTTCAAGAATTATGGTTTAAGGTTTAGAAAATCAGAATTTAGAATTATGCAATGATCAAATATTTTTACTAATTTTTCGGCTACTTTTTCTTCTATTAATTTTTGATAATACCCCTCTTCTCTCTCTTCTCGCTCTGAGTCGTTCGATTAACAGTGCGATGGGTGCCGTCGGCGGCGAGGCCACCCTAGGCTCCGTCGTCGACGGTCGCCCTTGGACCTCACTCTTTGGCATCGCGGAGGATAATCGCTTGGAATATGTTGCGCCTGTTCTAGTGGATGGCGTTCTCCAAATCCCTAAAGTTGTCTATGACGAAGGAGCGAAAAGATGGAAAATAGCTTGGTAGGGCAATTTTTGGGGAAGCCACCGCCATTATGGGTGATTCGTAGCTGGGCGAATCGATTATGGGGGCGGGATGGCCAAGTACGGGTTTCCTAGTTGTGTGATCGACTTATTTTGTTCCAATTACCCTCAGAAGTTGCTTGCAATTGGGTTTTTGAGGGGGGTCCGTGGCATCTGAGGGACAATATGCTATTTCTTCGACGATGGGAGGTGGGGATTCGTGCGCTGGAACTTGATAATAAGGCTCTGCCTATATGGGTGAAGCTAATCGATTTCCCGTTAGAGCTGTTGTCGAAGGATGGGTTGGGGAGAGTAGCGAGTCTGATTGGCAAACCGCTTTGTATGGATCAGCCTACGCGTAAGGGATTAAAGTTAGGGTATGCTAAGATCTGCGTGGAGGTTGAGGCTTCGGCTAAGCTGGTTGATCAAGTGAGATTTGCTGTGGGAGGAGGTAAGGTTTTCACTATCAAGCTTGAATATTGCCATCTACCTGTGAGGTGTAAGAAATGTGCAGTGTTTGGGCATGATTGTGCTGCACCGGTGGGGAAAGTTAAGCAGATTTGGCAGAAGAAGGATATCAATGTAGCAGCAGTTACAGACATTGAGGCAACACAGTGGGGCAAAGAGGTTGCTCCTCCTTCCCCAACGTCAGTCTTAGTAGATGTAGCAAGCTCTTCTTCTCCGGCTGGTGCTTCTCCACAGGAAGCTCCTCCAGTGGATAGGGGATCTAAACTAAAGGTTTGGAAGGATCTTCCATCTATCCATCCATTGGACTTCTTATCTGCTGTTAAGGGAAGTGATGTGGTTCTGCAGGCTCCAAAGAAAGGAAAAGGCAAAGGTAATGGTAAAGGGGGTAAGGGTCAGGGCAATATGCCCCAGTCTGCTGGATGAATTGTCTTGTTTGGAATGTGAGGGGGTTCAATAACCTCTCCAAGCACTCTTCAGTGCTTGATTATTTACGTAGATATAAGGTGGAGGTAGGTGCAATTTTAGAAACTTGTGTTCAAGTTAGTAAGTCTGAGGAAATCATTGCGAAGTTTGGTGACTATGAGTTTAAACCCAATTATAATCATGTCCCTTTAGGTAGGATTT